GAACTTCTAAGAGTGCTAAATACAACCGTTTGAAAGAAAATATAAACTGTTTGTCTCGAATATATGAGATAACAGACGGAAATAAAAGATAGAGGAGACGCCAGGCCTACGAACGCCTGCAAGGCTACCTCAGTGTCTCACTGGACTGAAGCTTGGCTCTCGCGCTACTGTTGCTGTCCAAAACCTGGATCTGTGCAAAAGAGCACAAAACGTAGTATCAGCACAACCGGCCCCATGTGCTGGTAAGTGTCTGGCCTAACCCCGGCGAGGTAGTGACGAGGCTAGGACCAGACTCCAGATAAACCTATAAAGTTATATAATATATGGCGGAAAAGTAAACAAGTAATAAGCAGTTAAAGCTGGGGAAAGGGGAACATGCTTTGGGGATAGCAGTTAAAAGAAATAACAGGGAATAATAAGGAATCTAGCACTATAACTTCTATCACAAATGAAGAAAATAAAGGCAATTTTCACTTTCAGTTTCCTCTTGTTGCAGGCGTGCAACCCGATCCCATTTCACATATCTTGTGGTAGGCGTACCACCCGCTCCCATTTCATTCTATCTCGTGTTAGGCATACCACCCGCTCCTATTTCATTATATCTTGTGGTAGGCGTACCACCCGCTCCCATTTCATAATATCTTGTGGTAGGCGTACCACCCACTCCCATTTCATCAATCTTGTGGTAGGTGTACCACCCGCTCCCATTTCATAATATCTTGTGGTAGACGTACCACCCGCTCCCATTTCACAATGTCTTGTGGTAGGCGTACCACCCGCTCTCATTTCATCATACAATCACAAGAAATACCGGCAAGGGAACATAAGTAATATAATAACTTCCCGGCAAGGGAACAAGGATATCAAAGTAGTCATCCCGATAAGGGGGAATCAGCTATAACCAATCTCACTTTGCTAGTACACAGTTCAATTAATGGAAATACTTAATCATAGAGGATCATTTATTAAAGTATACAAGGTGTCATTCAAAAACACGACAACTTTCAAGTTAAGACCCACGGTCATGCTTGACACCAACGTACACTACAAAAAAGGGCCTAATTGCGGCGGTTTAATAGCGGGGGTCAGATCCGACCCCCACAAATTTCATTAAATAACGGGGGTTTACTTAACTGACACAATATAAGTAAATAGCGGCGGCTGAAAACCTACGCCATCTGCAAAAAAAAACAGTGCGCTAATATTTCCCACGCTCTTTTTTGCTTCGTTCATTTTTTTCTCTGGAAAAAAATACAAATATAACAAAACCTCAAAAGCTCCGCCAGTTCTCACCAACGTTTTACCACGACTCAAGGTAAAGGTTTCAATTTTGAGAGATTAACTCAAATTTCATGATTCTTTCTACTTTATTTTTCTTAGAATTGAAAGTTTTGTGTGAATTTCTCATTCCGTTTGTGAGATTTGAACTCACATCCTTGTTGTTCCCTCTTTTTTCTTTGATTTTCTTCACGTTTTCCCCCTATAGCAGTGGCAAAGGCATCTCAATTACTCACTCGGGCATAGTAATCGACAAGTATCTTTAATTACAGTAAGTTCTTCTACCCTATTTTTGGTTTAGTGCAATATTATTTCTACAAATGGGACTTTGATTTTCCCCATTTTTGGGTTTGTATAATCTGTAACTTTTGTATGTTTTCTATTGCATGTGGCTTTAATTTTATTTTTGCTGTTTTTTGGATACTTTATGTTAGATTTGGATTTTCTCTGTTTATTTGAGATTTTTTTGTTGAATTAGTAGAAAATATAAATTTTTTGCACCATGTTGTATGGGAATTTATATGGGTGTATTGTGATTCTAAGGTTTGGTGTTTGAGCAAAAATTTGGTACTAATACCATTTTTGGGTTTGATTCTAAGGTTTGGTGTTTGACTCAACGAGCTTTTTCGTTAGAGGCAAATTCAAGTAACTAATAGCATTCCTATCTTTTCTGAACCATGAAGCCAAAAACTTTAAAAAATCTTCACAAAATCAGATATTTGAGAAAGCTCCTATTGTACGCTTCCAAGACTTAGAAAGTAGTAGTATGAAAAAAAAACAAGAAACCAAGAAAAATAGCATTGCATTAAAAAAAACGTTTTTTTTTTTTGCTAATCCAAGACAATTCAAGAACTGCTGCAATGCTAGAGAAACACACACTAGTTTTATACCAGTATATAGTAAAAAGGGTAAAAAAAAACAGCAAAGTTCTTAGATTATGCAAATTTTGGCGGAGTTTTCAAATGATGTTGTGGCCAAAAGTAGAATTAAAGAAACTAAGCATATGGTAGATACACAACAGACAAGTATCTCATTGCTCAGGCCTTCATTGTAGTACCTCTTATAAAAAAAACACCTTCATTGTAGTACCTAATGTATTTAGCTCTATATTGTCGCCTCTCTCCCCCTCACTATTGAAATTTACTCTACTTCTTTACCTAAAATCCTCTAAAACAAATTAGAAGAATAAAGAGAGATTAGAATAGTTAGAAGAATTGCAAGTTTATTTACTTTGTTTCTCTATCTCAAATCTATCGGTACTTCATGAAAATCACAATAATCTTTTCTTAAGATATTCGGTTATGTAAGTTCTTTGTTAGAATTAATTAATTTTTTCATTTTCTATTATGTTAACTTATGTTAATAGACTACTAATTTTCTTCCTCATGAAATCTTATAGGTGATATTATTGCACAATAATCTACTTTCCAATGGATAAATCTTGGATTGGAATGCCAAGGAACACACCACAGTATTTGCTTGGTTTGAATCAATTTCTAGATTTTGCATTTAACAATGTAGCTATAGGAGATAAAATAAAATGTCCATGTCCTAAATGTGGTTGTAGGAAGTGGAAGACTAGAAATATAGTGTTTGATCATTTGATCGAGAAGTCGTTCCCCCAAAATTATGTCACTTGGGTTATGCATGGGGAAATGAATGTATTACATAATTATGAAAACGTAGAGGTCACTCAAGATGCACTACCCATTGAAAATCCTATAGAATTATTGATCAATGAAGCATTCGGGGGCATAAGGCATGAGGATGTTGATGTAGGTCCGTCACAAGTAGTCGGAGAAGAAGAAATGATACATGATATGCCCACTTCAAATAACAAAGATTTTTTTGAGTTGCTTAGAGATAGACGTCAAGAATTATATGAAGGGTCTAAGTACTCAAAGTTGGAATTTTTGTTAAAGCTTTATCACATAAAGTGTTTGTCTGGGTTAAGTGATAAGGGAATGACTATGATACTAGATCTACTAAGAGACACATTTAAATTTACAAAGATTCCTCATTCTTTTTATGAAGCCAAAAAGACCATCAATAAGTTGTGTCTTGATTATATCAAGATAGATGCTTGTCCAAATGATTGCATGTTATACTGGGAGGATGATGTTAATGCAGAAACATGCAAGTATTGTCACACTTCTAGATGGAAACCCGAAAAGGAGAGCAGTAAAGACCATGAACCAACTACAAGTAAGAAACAAAAAAAGAAGAAAAAGAAGAAGCCTGCAAAAATTTTGCGCTACTTTCCATTAAAACCAAGATTACAAAGATTGTGCATGTGCTCTAAGATTGCAGAGCATATGAGATGGCATGCAGAGGATGATAACAAAGATGGAACCATAAGACACCCTAGAGATGGTGAGGCATAGAAGAGATTTAATACAACCTTTCCTATATTTGCTTCCGATCCTCGAAATGTTCGATTAGGCCTGACTAGTGATAGTTTCAATCCTTTTGGGACAATGAATACTAATTATAGCATTTGGCCTGTAGTTTTGGTTCCATATAACCTTACTCCTTGGTTGTGTGTGAAGCAACCAAATTTTATCCTCTCAATGATCATTCCAGGTCCACGTACAGCAGGGAATAATATAGATGTATACTTACAACCCCTTATTAATGAGTTGAATGAGTTGTGGAGTGAAGGTGTGGACATTTTTGATTCATCAAAGGATGAAATGTTTAGAATGAGAACAGCTCTTATGTGGACAGTTAGCGACTTTCCTGGACTTGATATCTTATCTGGTTGGAATACACATACTGGTCTTGCATGCCCCTCTTGTAATTTTGATGTAGAACCTTGTCGACTTCGTCATAGTAGAAAGTGGTGTTTTATTGGCCATCATCGGTTTTTGGGAAGAAATCATAAATTTAGAATGATGAGACATCGTTTTGATGGAAATGTTGAAGAGAGGACCCCTCCAAAGAAGTTATCAGGATCAGACATTTTGCAACAAGTGAAAGATATCAATGTCATATTTGGAAGACAAGCAGAATTGAATGATAAAAGGAAAATAAATAGGAAAAAGAGTGTTGGAGAAGGTGTAACTCAACAATGGAGAAAAAAAAGCATATTTTTTGATCTTCCATATTGGGAGTTTAACTCATTGCGCCATAATTTAGATGTTATGCATATTGAAAAGAATGTGTTTGATAATATTATATACTCTTTGCTAAATGATAAAGAAAAATCAAAGGATCATGTGAAGGCTCGAAGAGATCTACAAGATATGGGTATAAGGAGTGATCTTTGGCCGGATGAGAATGATGAATATCGGCTTGGTGCATTTACAATTCCAAAGGAGAAGAAACTGGCCTTCCTAAAGACTTTAAAGAATATCTCAGTGCCGGATGGTTATTCAAGTAATATATCTCGTTGTATTTATTTGGATAAAAAAAGGATCTTTGGATTAAAAAGTCATGATTGTCACATCCTTATGGAACAATTGTTACCAATAGCAATCCGCAATGTGCTTCCAAACCAGGTTGTTGCAACGTTGGTAGAGCTTTCCTCCTTTTTTAGGCATCTTTGTCTGAAAAGCTTAAGCCTCTCAGACCTAGAAAAGCTACAAAATCGGATTGTGGAAACTCTTTGCCATCTAGAGATGTTATTCCCTCCATCATTTTTTACTGTAATGGTTCATCTAACTGTTCATCTAGTGGATGAAGTAATACAAGGTGGCCCAGTACATTATCGGTGGATGTATTTTGTTGAAAGGTAAAATATTTCTTATTCAAAATTATTTTAACAGATCTTGTAATAGTATTTAAATGTAAATGCTTCTTCTAACACTTTATTATATTGGTTATAGATTATTAGGTCATTTCAAGTCCCTTGTAGGAAACAAATCACAACCAGAAGGTTCTATAGCTGAAGGTTACATAGTTGAAGAAGCTCTAACTCTTTATTCTCGTTATTTTGAGGGAATTGAGTCAAGGTTAAATCGACCTAAACGTGTAAATGATGAACCAAATCATAATGAGGCTTCAGAAGTGTCAACTATGTTCCCTCAACAAGGTAAACCCATTGGAGGCTCCACAATAGAACCATTGACTCTTTTGGAGAAAACTCAAGCTCATCGATGTGTGTTACTTAATTGCGCAGCAGTAAAGCCATTTATTGAGTAAGAAATTTATTTTGATTTTATTTATGAGAAACATTTAGAGTAATTGGATTAATATTGATGCATATAACACCTTTGTAGTGAATTTAGACATCACATCAGAAGAAGTAGAGGTCGAAGACTTTCCCCAACAGAGATAAAGAGGAGAGTTAGTAAAGAGTTCCCTGATTGGTTTCCTAAGCGAGTGAGTGAACGATTTTTAAAATGTTTCCTAATTGGTTTCCTAAGCTTTCTTGTATCAATTTGTTAACATAAATATGTTGTTTATTTAGATTATGAATCCAGATATAGCAGACACTATCTCTGATGATATCAAGTTCTTAGCACAAGGTCCAACACAAGATGCAAGAAGATTCAGTGCTTATAACATTAACGGATTCAAATTTCGGACTTTGTCTAGAGAACAAGGATTAAAAACTCAAAATAGTGGAGTCTTTCTTGTCTCTGACACTTCGTGTGTTGCATCTAGTGCAGATAAAAATGCAAGACAAGCAGACCTACCATATTATGGGAAGTTGGAAGATATTATTGAGCTTAATTATTATGGTCGGTTCAAGATTGTTCTCTTTAAATGCCAGTGGGCTGACACTACTCGAAACAGAGGGTTCAAAATAGATGTTTGGAAGTTTAATTGTGTCAACTTCTCTAAATTGATCCACACTGGTGATCGTGAGGATGATGATCCATATATTGAAGCATCACAAGCAAATATGGTCTACTATGTTGATGATGAAATTGATAAAGGATGGAGTGTGGCTGTACATTTAAAGCCAAGAGATTTGTTTGATATGGGAGAGGTTGATGAAGAAGAAATATACGAGAATGAGCCATACCGACAACAAGAATTTGGACAATTTTTTGATGTTGATTACGAGAATATCCAAATTGCAATAGAGGAGCATATGACTGAATAGATATAATAAAATATCCAAATTGCAATTGCAATAAGAATTTGGACAATCTTTTTTGGCTTGATTAGGATAGTTTGATTAGTGTTTTTTTCTTTAAAACTTACTATTTTTTAGCTAAGAAAGTGATATTTATTCTTTATGAAAATTTTGTGATTTTTTGTTGCTCGGGTTCTGCGTAGAATTCAGTAAGTGTTTGATAAGCTATTATAATGTGGATCTACCATGTTCAAACATTTCTTTCAATGTTTACTTTTTAACCATATTGGATTCAAATTTTTTATATTTCTCAGTTACTACTGTTTTCATGAGCTATATTTTGTTAACTTGGTATTGTGGTATGCAGTTTGATCATTATGGACTATGCAATCCTTTATGGTGTTGTTGTATTTGCTAATATTGAGGTAGCCTTCTTGTGTGAGAAGTCCTTAGGGCATTGTTGAATGAATTGCAGCTGCCCATATTTCAAAGAGCAGCAGGTTATGAGCATGTTATAATACCAGCTATGAGAAAGAGAACTTCAGTAATTTTATGTGTATATCTTAAATTAGATTCCTACTTGCACACCATTCTTTTATTTTGAAGTTTGTGGATTTTCTTTGCATTGTTTATTAAATTCATTCATTATTGAATTGCAGATATGCCAAGGTTCAAGCGTTTGCTGAAAAAGCAAAATTCAGATAAGTCAGTATCTACTTCACAAGGTACTGAATCAACACCTTCTTCTCTTCAATCAACGCCATGTATGCCAACACATCCAACCACGTCAATTTTGGCCACAACACATCTGGTCCAATCATTTCAGCCCACATCGCAGGCAGCTCCAATATTTCAGTCGGCATCACAGTCGTCTCAATCAGTTCACTCAACATCTCATCCATCTCCAATGGATCAGGCCACATCACAGCCGGCACCGATAGTTTACCCTGCATCACAGCCATCTCAGTCAGTTCAATCGACTCCAACAGATCAGGACTCATCACAGCAAGGTCTAACAGTTCAAGCCTTATCTAGAAAGCGTTCTGGGAGCCATTGGACTATAAAAGCAATAGGTAAATAATTTTGACTATTAGTACATATTCAGCACTCCCTTCTAAGTCCCTTTAGACCTTACCTGAAAGTTGGTTACTTTCAATTTTGTGATGCAATTGCAGTACTTAGAAGGTTTTCCCTGCATGCTCGTCTTTTCTTTGAAAAATTCAACTATATAGTGACATTTGGTGGCATTTTATATAAGCTATAAAAGAGCGGCAGATTGTCTGGTCGTGCCGTATTTTGATTCTTGTATCCTTCTGTCCAAAAAGAAAAACATGGCTAAAACATCAGAAGTTTCTTGTTTTAGTTGGTTCATCTCTCTCATGGATTCAACTGATCTCTTTTCTTATACAGATTCAAAAGAAAATATCAAGAAACTCAAAGTGAAAGTTAATGAAGTGCTATATTTAACGTGTGAAGAACGTATTGTGGTTGATTTTGATTACCTGGATGAACCATTTGGAGATGCACGCGGCCTTCTTTCAGGATTTTGTGGAATTTTAGCATGTGACTGCGCTTTATTTCCTATCCACTGTGAGAAATGGTCGAGTTTACCTATCTCATACTTCAACCGCATCTTCGATCAAATTATAAAGGTATAAGCTCTACATTCTTAGAACTATATCACTGTTTTATTTTGGAGAAAGACAACTATATCTCTATTTTATCTTTGAACTTTATACTTGCATTTAATAGACATGCTAACCAATGTTTTATTCTTTAAGCCCAAGTTCTTCTTTAAGACAACCGAGTCAGTTGCACGACAACATGTTTATAAATCTATTGGAAAGAAATGGGCTGCAAATAGGCTTAACTTGTGGAGTGCATCTGAAGACCCACTTAAAAGTAGAGCTGAGATTATTGATAATGTGCCAGATGGAATTCCGCCAGATCAATGGATTTCTTTTGTTGATTACCAATATAAAGATTCAACAAAGGTACTTAAGCAACTGCTTCTTCTAGTCTTTATAATTATATTATTGTTTGTTCTTCTAATTGAGTTTCAAGTATATTTTTTATAAGGAAATGCGTAAAAGAAATGCTGAAAAAGAAAAAAACAGAAGATTCCACACACAGGTGGTTCCAAAGCCAACGCTACGAGAAGGGCTGAAATGGTGAGTAAATTAACTTACTATATAATTATTTCTAAGTAGTAACTAATTCTGAATTTGATTTTATATTTATAGATGGCTCAGACTGGACAAATGCCTGGACGAGCACAAATATACATTGCTACTCATAAGAATGAAGATGGAGTATATGTTAATGAAGAAGCAAAAGAAATATGCGTAAGTTTTTGTGAATTCATAGCTTATCTTAAGAAACAAATCATGAGGACTAATGAGTATGCTAGATAATTGAAGTTTACTCAACATTTAAGTTCTATTTAATGTGTGTTGCAGTTAAAGTTGGCTATTGTCTTGGGTTGCTCAAGAGTGCCTCATCACCTCGTTACTATATGGTTTTAAATGATTGACATCCTTGTCCTGTCCTGCCTACTTCTTCTGCTTGCTACCTGTGCATAGTTTCCTGGAATCTAAATGCCATATGGGTGGCATGCATTCACTCACTGAAATATTTTCTTTGGGCAAGTGAATATCATCTGCAAGTGATTTTAACTATCTAATTAGGGTAAATTTTAAAAAAGGGATGAAAATTTTAGAAAATCTTCTAACATAGGTTGGACAACTAAGCCTAGATTGGAAACAGGTGGGCGTGTCAAGGTATATATGGTTATGCGGATTAAGATATGTATATTTTGACACTAGACAAATACATTCCTGTTAGTTTAGTTGTGACAATGAGTTTTGTATGTGTAGAAAAAAATTGAGTTAGCTTTGAGCCAAAGCACCATAGACGAGTCTCAAATTTCGCCAAATGATGCCGTTGGTAAGGTGCTAGAAAAAGAGCACTCTGGAAGGGTGAGGTGTTTGGGATTAGGCCCTGTCCCTAGTAAAGTTTTTAAGACCTCATTTTGGTGGTACAAGTTCTTCAAGTACTAAAGGTTCATGTTCGTCCCAATGTCAACATAACCATAATCAAATGATGAATGCTCACAATCAAATGATGAATGCTTTCAAGGCATATATGATAATGAAAGAAGGGACTTTACCAGAACAGTTTGCGGGGTTCTTTGCTTCTCCTTCGACGGTTTCTCCTACAACGGTAAGTAAAGTTCTTCAAATTTTTTTCACTTTAATTTGTCTATTTGCAAAGATAGAGTGGCTTATATTAGTACAATTCTTGTATGTTGTATCTGTTTTCTTTGTATAACTCCTCTCTCTCTCTCTATTATATTTTTCTTTCTGATTCTAGCATGAATTAGTCTCACTTTCTAATAGGATGCACAAACATCTTTTTTCTCAGTCCAATAAAAAAAAAGACTGCAATGTTGATCTAAATTTGATATTTAAGTACAAAGGAAGCTTGAAGAGTTGCACTTATTTGCTTACATTATTTAGTAGAACCTACAGTTAGTGCAATTTCTGATTCTGACATGATTTTTATACTTTGTTTTTTTATGCAGCCAAGTGATGCGGACAGTGGACCCCTTTCGCCAATAGACGCAAGAAGATCATGTGGTGATAGTAATTTTAGCGGCATCCATTGATTTTATTGTAATTGTCTTAGATAATTAATTGTGACGATGTAATTGTGTGGTTGAAGCTGATGTTAGAATGTTGGAGTGAATGTTTTGTGTTTAAAATAGTTTTTGAGTGATGCTACTTAATGTTGACAATTTAGTTTTAAAAACTAATGATATTTTATGATAACGTTTTGTGATTTTATGATATGTTATCGATATCTTTTTACTTTTAAATATATTTTTTTTTCTTTGATTATGATTTACAACTTAATTAGTAATTTTGTCAATAATATATGAATTAAAAAATTCAATAAGGTTACGACTGACTGGAGCTTAAAATATAAGTTAATAAAAAAGAATAAAAATTATATTGCGGAGGTTTACAACCGCCGCAATTCGTAACTGAAAATTATTTTTAAAAAATTAAGTTTTAAATCTGCGGGGATCAATCGCCGCGAAGTAACCCCCGCTACTTAGTTCTGGCGGTCAGCAAATAACTGCCGCAAATCGATTGCGACGACTCTTATTGTGGGGGTTTTAATGACTGCCGCAACAACATATTGTGGGGGTTTTAAACCGCCGCAAACCTTAAAAATAACCCCCGCAATTAGGCCTTTTTTTGTAGTGGTATAGATACTCGTCACCATGCCTATACGTCGTACTCAACAAGAAGCAAGTAGCAAATATGACTCAACTCCTAATCCTTCAAGCTAGGGTTAAACCANACGCGTTTCCTCGCGGGCCGCGCAAAAGGGTTTAGATTTCATTTCCATTTTCTTTAAACATTTTCAGAGAACAATTTCACTTAAAAATTCATAACTCAGGCTGAGGACCTCGAAATTCGATTCCGGGCATACGCCCGAGTCCCATATTTTCCTACGGACCCTCCGGGACCGTCAAATCACGGGTCCGGGTTGGTTTACCCAAAATGTTGACCGAAGTCAAATTTATTCATTTCAAGGTCAAAACTTAGCAATTTTCACAAGATTTCACATTTAAGATTTCCGGCTACGCGCCCGGAGTACGCACACAAATCGAGGCAACTCTAAATGAGGTTTTCAGGGCCTCGGAGACATAGATTTCAATTAGAAACAGGTGATGACCCTTTTGGGTCGTCACAATGCGCATGTACTAGGCCGTGTTCGCGTTAGTGGTTGGCTGGGATGACTGCATAGCTTTGGCCGCGATCGCAAAGAGTATCTTCGTTCAGTGATTTAAGTTGTGTATTTTGGGATTTTGATTCATTATCTCATATTTTGAATCTTAGACTTGGATAGGGGCGATTTTGTTTGGCGATTTTCTTACAAGATATTGGAGCAAGTGATTTCTACTTATTTATAGTATTGTTTCAAGAATCTACATGAATTATTAATACCTAAAATATAGAATTTTGAGATGACATTTGGGGTTTTGCCTACAATATAAGAGTGTATTTTGGGGATTTAGGTACTGTTTGGACTCGATTTTGGAATTAATCATATATTTTGACTCAACAATATATGGGTCGACATATTTTGATACTGGTGCCACACCCCAACCTTGGGAGGTGCGACCGGAACACGATGCCCGAAGGCCCGTGCGAACCGACGCCCATACTTAGACCCTTTTAATATGAAATTGGGGCTAGCAAGGCCTCCAAATAATAATACTAAAAATCTAGAATATGTGGAACTGACTTGCAAAAGAAACATTGTTATTTTAAATTATATCCATAACGGTACCCAACAAGGTTATAACCCATTCTTTTACATACAGCCATACTCCAGTTTGCAAGCCTCTAAGAGTACCCAAAAAAGAAATACTTATACATGACTTGGTTGGAACAGGACCCACCATACCCAAAACATTTAGAAGACCTGCTCTAGTACCTAGTGGCTTTTGAATAGATACTCCAAATAAGTGAACAACAACGGCCAATTAGATGCAACAACACCCTATTGGGGAGGGGTGTCACCAGGCTGCAGTTGTAGGCATGAACACAATACCCCAAGGAAAGGGTATCAGTACAGAAAATGTACTGACTATGTAAGACTAAGAAAGCATGTATATCATAGTCAGTAACATAAGGGGGTGTAAGTACGTGATTTTAACTATAACACCGAGAACAAGCCATCTAAGGCGCAAACTGTAAAAACTATAAACCATGTGTCATGAATGTGCACAAACAACCAAGCCACTTATTGGGGCCCTGCATTAATCATAATTTACACACACACATACACACACACACATGCATATATATATATATATATATATATAAACATATCTTCGGCCACTCTTTGGGGCACATTTCATCACTCCATACTTGGCCGCATTGAAGACTCAGTCATACCCGGACTTAGGAGATCTCGTTCGTACCCGGTCTCACGAAACTCGGTGTACCCAGTCTTAGAAACACTCGATAATGATTCATATCACATCACTCCATACTTGGCCTCATAGAGGACTCGGTCATACCCGCCCACACAAGGGCACGGTAACCTTAAATCACACATAATCGTACCCGGCCACTTGAGGGCTCAATAATGTCTCATATCTTATTTTAACATACCCAACTGATCAGTGGTTGCACAATAAGTGCCATACACGGCCATCTATAGCATGAGTCGGTAACGTAAAATAGATACATATGCATATAAGTGCAATGCAGAATCAACTTCAAGAGGTATCAAGTTTAGACTCATAACGAATCATATGTTTCGACCTCAGGATACCAATTGGGAACATTCTAGACTTCGAAATAATTACTACATACAAGAATGCACAAGAACAAAACAATGTCATTTAGGGAGATACATAATCAACCAAATTCGTTCAATACAGAAACCCTTTATAGGGAGGGAGGGAGAGAGACTTACACAAAGTCAGAAAGAAAGTTACCTTACATACCTTGTTGAAGAACTAGTTACACTTCTATGATGGTTAATCCTGCCTCCAATGAATTTATAGAATTAATTTCACTAGGCAATATATATTACAGTGATGATTCCAAGCTCTTTCATGCTAGATCCTGTTAGATTCAGATTCACCTCCATCTTTGCCTAAAATTTCTTGGAAATTATATAGGGTTGTTGAAATCATTTTTTGAAGAACTAATATTGGTAATAACTCCTAGAATGAAAGAGAAAAAGCTTTATTGCCTTTTTTATACTGTTACCCAGCATAGGAAATTCTGCTACTCTACATGGAAAATGGGTCTCCCGCTCTGGTCGCTATACCCGGTGGGACACCTGGCGCAAATCTAAGAAAACGTGTAATCCCCTCTCTGGACCCTCTATCCCTATACGTGCCACTAGCCGATTGGCCACGTCAGATGCACCACTTATCAATCTTGGACTTTATGCGTGGTGGAAAAGTGTTAGGTGTAACATCATCCCCCCCCCCCCCCGGAACATTCGTCCTCGAATGTTGAATCATTGTCATCCATTGAAAACTTCTTTAGATATCTAGGGTCATGCTCACCACGATAGTCTCCTTGTTGCCTTCCATATCATGGAATAAATGGGGGTACCTGGACTTCATATCTTCTTTAGTTTTCCAAGCCATTTATTCTTTATTATTGTTACTCCAAACTACTTTAACTGAAGCTACTTCTTTATTCCACAGCTTATAGACTTGATGATCTAAGATGGTCACTGGAATTTCTTATAGGATAGGTCCTCTAGGACTTGAATATCTTCAATAGGGGTAGTACAAGTTGGATCACTCAAGCATTTTGGAGCATAGACACGTGGAATACCGGATGCACTACTTCCAACTCTAGGGACAACTTGAGCTTATAAGCCACTTGTCCGACTTTCTTAATAATTCGGTATGGCCCAATATACCAAGGGCTGAGTTTGCCTCTTTTTCCAAATCTCATCACGCCTTTCATAGGTGACTCCTTTAGGATTACCCAGTTTCCTATCACGAACTCTAAGTCTCATTGTTGGTTGTCTGAGTAAGATTTTTGTCTACTTTGAATTGTCAATAAATTATCCTGAACCATCTTTACCTTTTCTACAACCTGTTGCACCAACTTTGGACCAAATAACTTTGTTTCACCAATTTCGAACCAGCTAATAGAGGATCTGCACTTTCTTCCATGTAGAGTTTCATATGGTGCCATTTGAATGCTAGCATAGTAGCTATCATTTTAAGCAAATTTGATGAGTGGTAGATGATCCTCCTAATTTCTTTTGAAGTTCAAAACACAGGCTCATAACACATCCTCGAGCGTTTAGATAGTACGCTTGGCATGGCCATCTATTTGGGGATGGAAATTTGTGCTAATGTTGATCCCAGTACCCAATCCTTTTTTAAATGGCCTCCATAAGTTAGCGGTAAATTGGGTACCTCTATTTGATATGATGGAAACTAGAACTCTATGGAGCCGAAGTATCTTCTTAATGATAGTTTGGTAATCCTCCGCTGATAAGGTAGTCTTTACTGGTAGGAAATGAGCTTACTTGGTGAGTCGATCCACGATGACCCATATGGAATCAAATCTCTGGGGTGATCGTGGTAATCCAATAACGAAATCCATGTTGATCACTTCCCATTTCCAGGTCAGAATTTCCATATTTTGCAGCAACCCTCCCCGTTTCTGATGTTCAACTTTACCTTGTTGGCAATTTGGACATCGAACGATGTATTATTCAATGTCCCTCTTCATGGTGCTCCATCATTATAGTTGTCGAAGGTCATGATACATATTGATTGACCCAGGATGAACAGAATACCAGGACCGATGAATCTCTGTCATGATCTACTATCAGAGTCCTCCGACATCGGACACACATAGTCGGTCTTTAGATATAATGACCTCATACTCGGATAACTCAAACATCTATTTCCTTTGAGAGGGAATGGTTTTCCTTATTTTCCCCAAGGCTAGATCTTCAAATTATTATGCCTTTACTTCGGTTATAAGTGCGGATTCAACAGCATTTCAAATTGTGGCTCCTCTACTACCTGTATTGATCAATCGTATACCTAAGTTAGCCAACCATTACAAGTCATTGGCTATCTCCAACTTATGATTT